CGGTTGTTGCTGCTCTGCTGCTGCTGATGGTTGCGGTTGTTGCTGCTTTGCTGCTTATATATGGTTGTGGTTGTTGCTGATTTGCTGCTAATGGTTGCGATTGTTGCTGCTCCCTGCTGCTTGCTGCATGCTGCTGCTCCTCCTCCTCCCCTGCTGCCTGCTGCCCCAGCTGCCTGCTGCCTGCTTCCTTGCTTGCTTGCCTGCTTCCCTGCCAGCCAGCCTGCCTCCCTGCTTGCCTGCTGGAGTGCTTGCCTGCTTGCCTGCTTCCTTCCTTGCCTGCTGGCCTGCCTGCTGCCTTTGCTGCAGGTACCAATGTAACATAGCACTGCTCTGAGTTTGTACTGTGCATGCTACATGTGTTACATACACATGCATGCTGCATATTTTTACGAAAGCCAGCCTTCGCAGAAGGCGCCAGCTGAATTGTGTTTGGCGAACGAAGTGAGTAACCAGGGGGTCTGGGGGGGTGGCCCGAGAACCCCCTACGTAAACTCGAAATTAGGTGGTGCTTAGGGGTGCACGGAAGCAAGGTTTTGGAGGTTGTGTTGGAGGTGATTTTTGGTGATTTTCACGAAAGCTAGCGAAGCTAGCTGGAGTTACTCTTGCGATAGCAAGGTTTCTTTCGACCGGGTGCAAATCCTAACCCCTGATTTTTCATGTCGAAGACCCCCCCCTCCCCTCTCCCCTCCTCCCCTCTCCTCCTCCTTGTCTTCCTCCCACCTTCCCTCCCTCCCTCCCTCCTCCCTCTTCGCAAGTTCGACTCCGTCCTGTCGTCGCTCTTTGGCATGCGGTTAGCGTTGCGTATCTTGCGGCCGCACTCGCTCACTCTCACTGTCTCACTGTCTCTCTCTCTCTCATCTCTCTCATCTCTCTCATCTCTTTCTCATCTCTCTCATCTCTCTCTCCTCTCTCTCTCTCTCCTCTCTGTCTCTCGTCTTTCCGTCTCTCTTCTCTCTCTCTTCTCTCGCAGGAGGATCCGGGCAAAGAGCCACATATAAAGGACTCTTCACCCCTGCCTCCAAAAAGAGCGCCGTGTTTTTTCCTACCTCGCTGCCCTCCACTTTCCCATTCTGGAGCGCTAGCTTTCGCCCCCCCCCTTGGCCTCAAGTTGTGATGTAGTCATCTGCATGGTAAGGTGTAGTTGCTCCGAGGCCGATGTGTTGTAGCTTCGTGCAGCTGTGAATGCATAACCTCTTACACACCTATATAAGTTCAAAGCACTAATATGTGACATTCAACCTTTTTGGATGGATATTCATCCTTTCTAGATGTTTGTGAAACACTCTTGCAATCTATATATATATTATATAATGCATTGTGTTTTTAAAAAGCACAACCACACTGTGCCTTTAGAGGCCTTGATCACAAATCACAATCTGTGTGAGTGACTCCTTTTGAGAAAGTATTGACATATGTAACATGTTAAAATTTCAACACAATGCATAAGACTGGGAAGTCTAAAGGCTGGGAAGCCTCTTTTTATAGCGGCTGGGAAGCCTCTTTTTCATAGCGGCTGGGAAGCCTTTTTTCATAGCGGCTGGGAAGCCTTTTTTCGTTTCGGCTGGGAAGCCTTTTTTCGTTTCGGCTGGGAAGCCTTTTTTTCATAGCGGCTGGGAAGCCTTGAAGCTTTTTTTCCAGCCATTTCGCGCCGGCCGCGTGGGGCGGGGTCGGCCGCGGGGGCAGGGGCGGGGCCGCGGTGTCTCTGTCTGCGGGGTGAACGGTCGGGATTCTCAGGTCAACTGTCAGGATTTGACGCCAGTGTTCATTCGTCTTGCTTGCTTCATTTTTCATTGCATGGTTGGGAGATGTTGGGAGCATTCACAAGCTTGCTTGCTTGCTCGTTCATTCCTCAGCAATTTTCGAAGCTTCACCTGGCCCACCATCCACACGTGGACGCTGCGATTTGAGGAGAACCATGCATTAGCATTTGACGTTTGCATTGAACTGGAATTTAGTGGTTTGTTTGATACGTATGGTTGCTTATTGATTGACAGAGGTGTTGGCCAAAAGTTTTTGCAGACTTGCAGGAAGAGATCATGGCTCCTGCGGCGTCCACTTCGAGTTCTGTCACGAGTGAAGGCTGGCACTGGGTTGATGGAGTCTTTCATGGCTGATCTTCAAAGTTTGAATATGATGATGATAGATGATCGGTTCATGAATATGGCTCATTGGTTTTGTCAGGGCTTCATTCAATTCTCCCCGTCAGGTGAGAGTGTGGTGATCCGGTCTCCTCGGACACCACCGCTGTCGTCGCGTTCGGCGCCATCGACACCGCCAGAGTTGCTGCGTCGTTCCTTGGAATCAACATTTTGAATGACGGTGCGTGGGAACATGTTGGATTGAGTCTGTTTTTGCTTTTAAACGATGGTTATGGTTGGTGGGATATGTGATGATTTTGAATGAGTCTTGACTTTTACTTGACCTCAGGTGCTGCAGCTGCTGAGCAAGAGCGACAGGAGACCGTCCAAGTGAACATGAGCTTTCCGAAGCGAAGGCGGGTCACGGTGAGATTTCAAATTGGGGATGTGAGCTCACCGGCGGAGGGCAGTGGCTAAAGCTCTACTTATATAAATGGAATGTTCACGGAGAGTTCAAGGAGTCAAGGAGAGTTCAAGGTAGACTTGGAATAATTATTCAAGTGCACCCTTTTTTGATGCCATCGCTGGGGGCCACATTTGTCAGCGTCTGGGAAGACACGCCGGACTGGCTCACAATATCTCACAATCATACACAAAAACTAACTAACAACACTCTGAATTCTGAATCTTCACCTCGTCGTGAGCCGGGATGGTGTGGTGCTGGGAAAGCACACTTTTTAATCTTAGTCTTCATGGCTCAGGCTTGGCCACAGATTGTGGAAACTGCGCATTATTTTAAATCCGCTTGTAATTGGAAAATGCTTGCACTTGGCGGGTCAAGCCAATTTGGGCCAGGAGGTTGAGCATTTTTCCTGAAAGAAGGAAAAGGTAGAAGCAGCTGTCCAGCTTTGGGCAAAGCATGCTCAGGTTTGAAACGGTCTTTGGGCAAAGCTTGCTCTGTGTTGCGCAAACTTTTTGTTTGTTTAATGATCTTTGTGATCCCAAGGCCTTCTGTCCCACAAGGGACTTGCTCTGCAGGGGGCCCCATTGCTGGCGCACGCTTGTTTTCTTGACTGAAGTCTCTTGATTCATTAGAGAGTCATTCATACCTAAGAGCTTGAGAGTCTTTGACCCTGTTGAAAGCTTTTACCCTTCTTTGACCCTCTGTGTTATTGTTTTTTGATCCCTATACGTCCCAGTCTTTGAATCTCGGTTTTTTGACTTCCCAGTCATTGACTCATTGACTTCCCAGTCATTGACTTCCCAGCCTTTGACTTCCCAGTCATTCAAGCCCGTGTCTGAGGCCGACCAGGAACTTGAAGACCAACATAGTCCGGGCCTTGAGCATAGAACTTCGTCATTATAGGATTGGGAAAAGCTGGTTGAAGCCATCGTTAGGTTTTCAATCTGCCACTCGTCTTGCGTTCACAGAGCAGCTGGGAAGCTAGCAGTAAGCTGGGAAGCTCGAAGTTCCTCACATATTGGCTCAAGCCTCATCATGCCGGGTGCCAGAAAGCGTCCAGCTTCATGTCTTGATGAGGACCCTGGTCCTGGTGTGACCTTGGTGCCTCCTAGATTGTACCTCAGCTATCTCTAGTGACTCTCTAGTGATTCAACACGCGTGCTCACATGTGAAACCGAAACTCTGAAATAGGATTTGTTTTTTGTTTCCCTTTTCGAAGGCATTTCAACATTCATAGAAGGAATGAAATTCCTGAGGCAAGACTATCCTCTTCCGTCTTCCCTTCAAGACATCAATCGGTGGCCAGAGATCCTGTTGGACCGTTTCACGGCACTCTTGGGCGAGGACGTTGTGGAGCAAAGGCTCAGCTCCTCGCCAGCCAGTTCATGAGCAATCACTGCGCTTTGTTTGAAAGGATTACCAGTGACCTAGTGTTGTTTGATTGCAAAACTTGTCGGAATGTGATGGAATACGTTAAGGACATGTGCGGTGGAGGGTCTACTCACTGTTCTCTGGCATCGAATGCATGCGCGAAGCTGTGATGATGCTTGACGGTGCATGTGTGAAGCGGTTTGGGTTTCGACTTGGTGTGGAATATGAGTTACATGTCTCTTGCCAACATATCAATCAATTGTTTATCCCTCTGTGGTCACGCAGTTTCGTGTAGCACATAATCTGAACATATATATATACATACAGCAAATAGAACTTGATCCAAGCATTAGCTTCCCAGCTGTTTGCGGCTTAGCTGATTGAAACCCATCATCTCTGCATTTCAATTGCCTCGGTTGAGAAGAACCGCGCTTGCCAAAAGGCATTGTCTGACGCCTATCCTGGGACCTGCTTGATGTCTAATGTAATGGAACTACTGCCGACCTCACCCAAGAATAAGCAGAAGCCGAAGTTCACACATGCTTTCGAATGTGTCACACATCGCAAAGAGTTCCTTGGGCTCTAGATTGTGAACTTGAACCCTGAAGCCTGTCAGTCGAT